CACGGAGGGTATTTCTTTCTTGAAATCACATATCATTACGGCAATATTAAAGAAAGACGATATTCGTCGTTACTGTTACCCAAATTGGGCCAATATTGTCCATTTCACATCAGAGTTCAATGAGTCAGTGATTATGTTTTTCGCCATACTACTATATATAAATGACGTTTGAGTCTAGCTGTAGCCACATGTGATCGCCTCAATGGTCTTGTGGATAGAGTGTCTGTCCCGAGAGTTCGTTCGTAAGTTTGTTGTTTAACGCCGTCTTGCCGTAAAAGGCGACTAACGGGATCGGGTGGTCAGGCTGCTGACTTGGTTGATGCATGTCATCGTATCCCAATTAAGTTGATCGATGCTTATGGTGTCAATCACTGGATTGTCTGGTCCAGACTTGATTATTAACGGACCGCCGTCATATAATTGGAATATTGCTGAGTGCGGCGTTAAACAACAAATAAACAAACAAACAAATGAGAGCCGACTAAAATGGAGAACGGTTGGTACAATGCTTTGAATTGCTCTGGACATCATTCCCCTCGCCTCGGACCGTTGTTCATGTAATAGATCACTGGCTGGCTTGTCCCTGACTCGATGTTTGTTTATTTGTTTGTTTGTTTGTTGTTTAACGCCGCACTCAGCAATATTCCAGCTATATGACGGCGATCGGTAAATAATCGAGTCTGGACCAGACAATCCAGTGATTAATATCATGAGCATCGACCCTCGCAATTGGGATCGATGACATGCATCAACCAAGTCAGCGAGCCTGACCACCCGATCCCATTAGTCGCCTTTTACGACAAGCATAGTCGCCTTTTACGGCAAGCATGGGTGCTATCCCTGACTCGATGAATGGAATAGAATGATGACCATGCTATGCACGATTGCTCAAATGACAACTTGGAGGCGTATTAAGATACGAGACAGACATAGGCACACAGGCAAGGTGTGCTGCGGTGACTTGAGACAGAGCCAACAGAAAGGATTTAAGCAATCGGATTACTCGGGGACAGTGATATCACTCGAGGCACGTGAGATCACTCGAGACACTTGAGATCACACGGGTACTGGGGTCTTTCGATGAACTCATGAGGGTGTGTTGTGATACTTGAGATCTGTTGAAATGACTTGAGACAAAGCCAACAGAATTTTTTTAAGCAATCGGATCACTCGAGACACTAACATTACTCGGTACACTTGACATCAATCGAGTACAGGGGTCATTCGGTACACCTGAGATCATTCGAGACATTGACATCACTCGAAACACTTGCGATCATTCGGGCACCGGAACCACTCGAGACATTGGAGATCACACAGGCACTGATATCATTCGAGACATTTGAGATCACTCAGGCACTGGGCCCCTGACAGCAACACGAGTAATTAGAGGTACGTAATAAGATATTTGAAACCTACATCAGCATCCGAGCTTATTAATATACGCCTGTTCGATAACAAATACGGGTAAATCAACTTCAGTCTGCTCTGAAACAAGCACATCAACATCAGTCTGCTCTGAAACAGGTACATCAACACGTTCCATTAAAATAATCACAAGCCTAAGCTTATATAAATATCTCAAATTAAGGCTTTTCTATAACGAATAGACCCGTGAAGATTACGGGGTAGAATAGATCTTCAGCAACCCATGCTTGCCGTAAAAGGCGACTGTGCTTGTCGTAAAAGGCGACTAACGGGATCGGGTGGTCAGGCTCGCTGACTTGGTTGATGCATGTCATCGTATCCCAATTGCATGGATCGATGCACATGATATTAATCACTGGATTGTCTGGTCCAGACTTGATTATTAACGGACCGCCGTCATATAGCTGGAATATTGCTGAGTGCAGCGTTAAACAACAAAACAACCAACTATCACGATACTTATGTCCACATCAGCCTGTTCCATAAACACACTCATAAACACCAGCCTGTGCTAAAAAGCTGGTCTATGACATACTTGTATATCATCAGCCGCTTGGTATATAACAAATATATCAACAAAAGCCGGTGCTACAACAAATATATCGCTATCGGTCTGTTCTACAACAAATATATCAATATACTTTAATGTGACAACGATACGAAGGTCAGTCTGACCTATGACCACCAGACTGGACTGGGATCAGACAGTTTATGTTGGGACAGCTCATGTGTTTTAACTTCGATGTATGGGTTTCTGTCACCTGAGAAAAGATCTCTCCTCATCAGAACAACAAAGAAACATATCGGCTCCATAGCTGAGGTGAGGTGAGGTGAGGTGAAATTGGGTTTAACGTCGCGTCCAATATTATTGCACTTATATAGCGACGTGCATGCACGTGTGTGTGTGTGGCTGCTTGTACTAGTCCGGACTGATGCCGATTTATAGTGCTAGTCCACTGAAATACCATGCCGCATTAAACATGAATACCCCACTCAGACACAGTATACTGACTCCGAGCCGACCAGTCCTTGTTTTAGCCCCTTAATGCCGAGCGCCAGACAGGGTAACAACAGGTACCATCGTTTAACGTCTTTTGGTATGACGCGGCCGGGATCGAAACGGAGAGCGGTAGGTCCGGGGTTCGATCCCCGGTTTAAGGGGCTAAAACAAGGACTGGTCGGCTCTGAGTCAGTATACTGTGTCTGAGTGGGCTATTCATGTTAAACTGCGGCATGGTATCTCAGTGTGCTAGCACTATAAATCAGCATCAGTCCGGACTAGTACAAGCAGCCACACACACGTACATGCACGTCGCTATATAAGTGCAATAATAATCTTGGACGCGACGTTAAACCCCATTTCACCTCACCTCTTTTACCTGGTAGTGTACTTTAGTTAAAAACTTCTTCGGACATGCATCCTCGATTTCGATTTCAACACTAACAAATCAAAACGAATGTTTTTGATAAAAAACTACACCGAGCCCCGTAAAACCAGAAGGTACTGTAATAACAATATGCCGACCGGGTTAACAAATGTTGATACATGAACAAATAAATACCATTCTTAACACTGATTTTCTCGGGGAATCTTGACGAGTTTGTACATCTGGAACCATGGCTGATCTCCGCCACGGCCCCTTACCGGGAGCAGTTGTAAAACATGACAGCGAAACGGAAAATGAGAGACTATTCCGGTCTGGCTGATACTCCCGGGGCGGGTTTTGGCGAGATTCTCATTAGCAGAAATGACCATTCCCCGTCAAAAGTCACTCTGGTGACGCGGACACCCGACGGCGGAGGGGACCATTGTTGTCTGGCGCGGCACTGTGATTGAAAAAACTGGAGGAATGCCTGTGCCACGATACCTTATACCAACTTGTTTGACGGTGAAATGGCCCGGTAGATTTCATTATTAGCGAACCAGAGAACATTGCAGCAGGCAAATGGAAGTTGAAGGAAATTAAACTCAGTTATAACGTTGCCTGGTCGATTTTGGTCCGTGAACTTAATTCGGTATTTCTTTTGCTGATAGACTAGGTATTACACCCTAACGTGCTGTTTAAGAGCAATCACCTGACATTTTACATGGATGGGCTTAGGAGAGAGAGATTTTTCGTTTATTTATTTATTCACGTTTTTTTGTAGAGGGGATGTAAAATGGGGAAGACGGGATGTTCGGCAAACGTGAATCGGACTCAACGTTGGACGTTGTGCTTGTGTCGCGTGTTTCTTTATGACGCAGCATGCAGCAACACTCCAGCTATATGACGGCGGTCAGTAAATAATCGAGTCTGGACCGGACAATCCAGTGATTGACATCATGAGCAGAGATCCACGCAATTGGTATACGATGACATGCTTCAACCAAGTCGGCGAGCCCGACCCCCTGATCCCGTAAGTCGCATCTTACGACAAACAGGGATATTGTATACAGTATATATTGTCATAACAGACCGCTCCTGTGGTCTTGTGGATAGATCGTCTGCCCGGAGAGCGGGAGGTCGGTGGTTCGATTCCCGGCCGAGTCACACCACAACACGTTGATAGATGGCACGTTTCATAACTTTATACCCCATTTCACCTCACCTCGACCGCATCTGTGGTCTAGCAGTAGAGCGTCCACCCGGAAAGCGGAAGGTTTGTGGTTCGATTCCCGGTCGCGTTATACCAAAACACATTAAAAGATGGTACTTGTTGTTACCCTGTCTGGCGCTCGGCATTAAGGGGCTAAAACAAGGAGTGGTCTTCTCTCGTATACTGTGCCTGAGTGCGGCACGGTATCTCACTGAGCTAGCACTATAAAATCAGTCCAGACTACTACAAGCAGCCACACACACACACGTGCATGCACGTCGCAATATTTCACGTTAAACCCCATTTCACCTCACCTTACCTCGCCTTTATAGCCATAGTGGCTCCACACAGTGATTTGCCGAGCGCTTCCTGTAATATACACATCACAACACTGACAAATGTGACTCGGTTCACAAGGTTACTGTTGAACAAACTGAAGACATTTCGGCGTGAACACCGCGTTTAGGTTCAGTAGGCGTAACGAAAGAATCCATTTTCATTGCACGGGACTGTAATTGTGCTTGACGGGGTGCACGTGAAGTTCATGCTTTACATGTTTTCGTCAATACTTGTTTTGTTTGTTTGTTGTTTAACGCCGCGGATGGTCAGGCTCGCTGACTTGGTTGATGCATGTCGTCGTATCCCAATTACGTGGATCGATGCTCATGATGTCCATCACTGGATTGTGTGGCCCAGACTCGATTATTTACAGACTGCCGTCATATCGCTGGAATATTGATGAGTGCGGCGTTAACCAACAAACAAACAACATATGTGTTTCGTGACGGTGTGAATTCTCCTGGCTGTATTTGTGCTATGACGTGCAGAATTCTTTTCGCCTTCTGCTAAGAATGTTCTTTTTTAGCTAATAACCGACTGAGGCTCCCCATTCCAAAAGCTCGATATCTCCGTACAGGGTACGGTATATTATTTATTTGTGAAATGCTTTAAAATGAAATGCTGAAATATTAAGGCAAAAACGACCGAATCTGATATTTCATATTTAGAGTTTAATCACAATTAATCATAATAATAGAGAGAAGACACAACAAGCTAAGTAATAATTCTACTAAAACAAGATCCACGTTTTATAACTGCTACGACTTACAGTTTATATAAAAGCTGGAATATTGTTGACATTGTTGTGCAGCACTCACTGAGGCGTATTTCTAATATGCTGGTTTTCGGATTTATTCTTCTTGGGTCGGTGGTAAAATAAATGATAAAATAGACCCTTTAATTATTGATTTTTTTAAACAACAAGAGGGTCAATAGGGTGAGAAAAAATTTAAATTACAAATTTATATTTTTTGCAATTTTCACACACTGCTTGTCGTGCCGGTGAAGCTATATAGATACTATGTGAGGTCACTTTTCTCGTTTAAATCTGTATCAGGCATAGAAACAATTGTGATTTTTTTTTTGGTAAATGTGGTTATCATGCTCGGTGGTGAAAAAAAATTATTATTAAAAAAAATACACCTGACTATATATTAACTATTAATCCTTTCCTTTGTACAGCGTAGCCTTGCTAGGGACGAAGACTTTGTTACAGCCGTCTGTTGTGCAGCAGTAATGACACTCGAGGTCTCCAGTGTAGCCCGGGTTGAACGGGATACACCTCTGGTCATCAGAGGTCTGCTCCCACCATAGCCTCTCACAACGATTCTGTCCGGCGCACCTGTCAAAACCATAACCTTGTTAAACTGGACAGATGGACGTAACCAGAACTGGTAGATGAAAATAAGAATGGAATCAAGATAGATATTACCAACGATGTGCCTGCCACACTCTCATATAGAACACCCGTGAAGATTCCAGGTTAGAATAGGTCGTCAGCAACCCATGCTTACAGTGAAAGCGACTGTCCTTGTCGTAAGTTGGTTTGTTTGTTTGTTGTTTAACGCCGCACTCAGCAATATTCCAGCTATATGACGGCGGTCTGTAAATAATCAAGTCTGGACCAGACAATCCAGTGATTAATATCATGAGCATCGATCCACGCAATTTGGATTGATGACGTGCATCAACCAAGTCAGCGAGCCTGACCACCCGATCCCGTTAGTCGCCTTTCACAAGGATAGTCGCCTTTTACGGCAAGCATGGGTTGCTGAAGACCTATTCTACCCCGTAATCTTCACAGGTCTCTTGTCGTAAGGGGCGACCTACGGTATCGGGTGGTCAGGCTCGCTGACATGGTTGATGCATGTCGTTGTATCCCATTTGCGTACATCACTGGATTGTCCGGTCCAGACTCGATTATTTACAGACCGCCGTCATATAGCTGGAATATTGCTGAGTGCAGCGTTAAATAACAAACAAACAAACGAACACTCACTCACAATACCACGGATTAGAATACAATGGACACGGCGTATGTTGTATGAACAGTAGATATGTACACAAATGTCTCAGAATTGAAATCTTGACCCCAAGCGTTCAAAACTAGGGGTGAATTTTTAACATTTTCTTGATGAGCATGCGCTAAGAGACTAACGGCAACGTCAGTAACATCGGCGAGGAGGGCATACAAGACGACCCAAAGAAACTGCATGCAGAGTCGCTGGAGCTTGAGACAATCATTATGTTGTGAACAAAATTATAATGTGCTATAAATAAATTATTTGTCCATCCTGGTCGGTTATGCAATATGAATAGGGATTTTTTACAGTGAATGTATTCCATAAAGAAATGAATAAATATCTTATATTATCACGCCCCCAAAATGTACAATGCTTGCTGAGCATGCCTCTAAAAAAAAATTATTTTGCAAATAAATTTACTTTAACCAAATTATTTGATAACTTCTTGAAATGATCTATTAGACAAGAAAATTGTGTACTAATGTATCACAGTGGAATATTGAGTTTCAAGTAATGGAAAAGAAACTGTACGTAAGACCTGTCTTTTTCTGGATGTTTTAAACCCCTACCTAATGATGCAGTCTATGGTGAATGTGTTTGAAATGAAATCTTTGGAAGGAGAGACGCAAGGAACATTGTGAGGGGATATGGCTTTACGCCACGTTCAGCAATAGTCCAGCAATATCGGCGGGGGACACCAGAAAATGGGCATCACACAATGTACCTATGTGGGGAATCGAACGTGGGTCTTTGGCGTGACGAGCGAACGCATTAACCACACGGCTACCCCACCGTCACTCCAGGAATATAGGATTTATTACAAATACCCTTACTCTTTCACGTATGTTGTATGTCCTTGGGCATCCTTCTTAACTGAGTTCATGCAGAATGGCTCCGTCCTCGTGCACGTCTGCGTCTTTTCCATGGCGGGGATAATACCGCATGTTCCACCGCTGCAAACGTTGCACACAGCTGAAGTAGACACAGACAACGTCTCACAAGCATAACAGTTCCTCATTTTTTGCTTTTGTTAATAAAAAAAGTTTTTTCATTATTATCCAATCAGCTTGTCCCATTTTTTTAATCCTTACCCTTACTTTACATCTGGCTTCTTTACCTGGTGCCATTTGTTATTCTTCCTGTACGTCTTGCATGCTAATCTGTTGCTTATCACAACACATCTTGTATATATACCTCTCATCACGTGGATGTAGTCACTCAAACTTGATAACGGTACAGACCGGTGAAGATCCGGGGTAGAATAGGTCTTCAGCAACCCATGCTTGCCGTAAAAGGCGATTATGCTTGTCGTAAAAGGCGACTAACGGGATCGGGTGGTCAGGCTCGCTGACTTGGTTGATGCATATCATTGATCCCAATTGCGTGGATCGATGCTCATGATATTAATCACTGGATTGTCTGTTCCAGACTCGATTATTTACAGACCGCCGTCGTATAGCTGGACTATTGCTGAGTGCGGCGTAAAACAACAAACCAACTAACCAATGATAACAGTACAGAATCTCCATCGAAACGTCGTAAAATGTAATGGATCAGAAATTGTTATCCATAAAAGTGTATGTTTTCTTATTTACGCAAACACTTCTAGAATGCTAATCAAACAGTTTGTTCGTTTGTTGTTTAACGCCGTTCTCAGCACAATACCAGCTATTCGTTCATAATATCACTCACTGGTATGTCGATCAGGTTCAGACTAAACTATTTACATGCGTTATATGGCTGGAATATTGGCAGCGTTAGACAACACGGGTACCTGTAACTGCGCATGTTACCATTGCTTTTTCAGCAGGATTGATTGTTTGTTTGTTTACCGCCGCACTCAGCAATATTCCAGCTATCTGACGGCGGTCTGTAATTAATCGAGTATGGACCATACAATCCAGTGATTTGCATCATGAGCATCGATCCACGCAATTGGGATACGATGACATGCATCAACCAAGTGCCGTAAAAGGCGACTATGCTTGTCGTAAAAGGCGACTAACGGGATCGGATGGTCAGGTTCGCTGATTTGGTCGATTCATGTCATCGATCCCAATTGCGTGGATCGATGCTCTTGATGTCAATCTCTGGATTGTCTGTTCCAGACTCGATTATTTTACAAACCGCCGTCATATAGCTGGAATATTGCTGAGTGCGGCGTTAAACAACAAACAAACAAAAGTAGGCGAGCCTGACCATCCGATCCTGTTAGTCGCCACTTACGACAAGCAGAGTCACAGCAAGGATCCGGGGTAGAATAGGTCTTCAGCAACCGATGCTTGCCGTAAAAGGCGACTATGCTTGTCGTTAAAGGCGACTAACGGGATCGGGTGGTCAGGCTCGCTGAATTGGTTGATGCAGGTCATCGATCCAAATTTCGTGGATCGATGCTCATGATATCAATCACTGGATTGTCTGATCCAGACTCGATTATTTTACAGACCGCCGTCATATTGCTGTAATATTGCTGAGTGCGGCGTAAAACAACAAACCAACCAACCAACCACAGCAAGCTTGGGTTGCTGAAGACCTATTTTTCAGCAGGAAACACAGACAACCCAGCCATATTTTGCACTGTTAACGACCTTAGCCAAATCCACACCAACCATTCTGTTTATGTATGTGTAGTCATACGGGTATTAAGACTTTATCATGTGACCTTCGACCTTGACCTTGACCTACATGGCACAACAGGCTTCCGGGTTGTGTGTGACCCAGACCCATCTCCTGTCGATTGTTCGTATGTAGCGGTGCGTTGGTAGTTTGTTGCGTCCGGAGTTGTTGCAGGGTGCACGGTGGGCGGTTGGTCGGTTGCCTGTCTGACTCCACCTGTAATAAAATAAACAACATTCGAAATGATACATCGTAGTCGGAGGAAATTGAAACGTACCGACGTTAAATGCTGACCCGTGAAGATCCGGGGTAGAATAGGTCTTCAGCAACCCATGCTTGCCGTAAAAGGCGACTATGCTGCTCGTAAAAGGCGACTAACGGGATCGGGTGGTCAGGTTCGCTGGCTTGGTTGATGCATATTATCAATTGCGTGGATCGATGCTCATGATGTCAATCACTGGAATGACTGGTCCAGCCCTCGATTATTTACAGACCGTGCCATATAGCTGGAATACTGCTGAGTGCGGCGTTCAACAACAAACCAACCTACTTTCAAATGCTAGTCCCGTTTGCTGTTTCTGACACTCGGCTCGACATGAGGTTACAGAAGACCTCCGTCAGCAGTGGCAGGAATCCATATTGGAACGAGTTTCGTGCACGTGACTATCACGTGACGCAAAGCAACCTGGCAGCAGTATTGAACCTAATATTACATGAACATTGTTGCCGTTTTGCGTTTGTCTTCAAATCTCAGTGTATACCTAATCCCTGGTCAGTACAGAATAACTGTCTTTAATACACGGCATTCGTGTTATAACTATATTCGGTGGGATCAAGCGTTACACGTTTTACAGGAGTCACGCAATAGCACGACGCCATTGCTGTCAGAAGTATTATATGCAGGTAACGGAATGAGCCGAGTGAACCCGAAGCTGGTCTCGGAACAACCAATTTGAATGGGGTATTTTTTAGACTTAAATGATTAAGAAATTAGCTAACTTGAAGAAAACATTATGAAGGGTACGTCCATACCAATGACTTTGTTCTGATCAACGCTTCCAAGTTTGGAACACTTAACATCAAGTGAACAGCCGGGGCTTAAATGTCTGCTGAGGGTTAATTGTCATGGGAGAGGTTTTCTGAAATTTCTTTGACCTAAGCTGATGTTCTTATAAGATGTGTATCCTCGAATCTGATCACGCTTCGGATTTCGTTAGCCTTGTCCATTTGTAATGGCGACATGTCTGATTATCGTCAGTACTTCACGAATTTGTATACACAACGTGTCACCACCGGTAATGGACGGACGTACTGAATGCAGACTCTAATTGAGGATGCTGCCTAATTTACAGTTACTCTACGATGGCGCTGCCAGCAGTATGTTATTTTCCGAGGGGCTAGTGACCAAAGGCCAGGCTCCATTAACCGTCCGGATACAGATTGTGAGGCAGTTGGCATAACTGTAAATATTCCAAGAGGTGGTGAGAAACCCAACTCGCCCACTCTCCCTTCCCACTGTCATTGTTTCTTTTGTACTTTCCTTTTGTTTGTTTGTTTGCAAACAATATTTCATTTATATGACGGCGACGGAAAATAATCGAGGCTGAACCTGACAATCCAGTGATTGACATCATGAGCATCGATCCACGCAATTGGATTACGATGACATATATCAACCAAGTCAGCGAGCATGACCTCTCGATCCCGTGAATCGCCTGTTACGACAAGCGTGGATTGCTGAAGACATGTTCTAACCCGGTCGTCACGGGTTCGTACATTCCTACACAATGGGCGGAGACTCTGGACATACAGCATGCATTACATTATTATGAAAAAAAAGTCAATATTCGGCCTTAGTGACATACGTTTGAGTTTTCAGTTTGCCAATGAGGGAATGAATCAGTTTAAAAAGAAAGTATACACTTTTAAATTTGGTTGGATAAAAAATTACATACGTTATGAAAATGTCACCAGGCTGAAAACAGTCGCCGCAATATTGCATTGCAGCAATGACACCCGTTACAAATGAATCATTTCTTCTTTGTATCATTTAAGCCACCATCAAACAAGGGGGTATGCTATCTTTTGTCCCGGGTTTTTGGGTACATATGTACCAGAATTGTAATTATTATAATATTATTAATATATAATTGACTAAAATTAAGACGATGTGATTACAATACTGATGAGTATTATATTGATACGTTAATTGAGTGACGATGTCCCAGTGAAGACCCGTTGAAGAATAGGTCTTCAGCAACCCATGCTTGCCGTACAATGCGACGATGCTTGTCGAAAGAGGCGACTACCGGGATCGGGTGGTCAGGCTCGCTGACTTGGTTGATGCATGTCACCGTATCCCAATTGTGCGGATCGATGCTCACTGTCAATCACTTAACGCCGCACTCAGCAATATTACAGTTACATGACGGCTGTCCGTAAATATTCAGTCTGGACCAGTCAATCCAGTAGTGGACATCATGAGCATCGATCCACGCAATTGGGATCGATGACTTGCATCAACCAAGTCAGCGAGCCTGCCCACCGGATCCCGTTAGTTGCCTCTTACGATATATATCCTGTACCATACGTACGTTGAGTGGACATACGCAGTGGAGTATACCGTACTCGTGGTGTCTGTACGTCGGCCATGTAACATGCAACCTGGATGTTCCAGGCGGGTGGGGCGACCACGCCTACTGCCGCACTGGAGTTCACCATTTGCAAGGTGTTCGTGAACCAAACCCTTTCTTTACTGATCTGAAATTAAGGAAAATTAGAGTCAAGCACAGCCTCACGTACCCGGTTTATTATATAGAGTGTCTTTTGATACAAATACACTTTTATTAAGTGTTGATATATTTGATGTCAAAAGACACGAGGGTGAAATTGTAAACTGATGAACAAAAGAAACTATACCTCTCAGTTGGTTTTATCATCTGTTTAATTTTCGATTTAATGTATCTGCTGATTGATATCTTAGACATATATTTGTGGAAATCAATACATTTTTGTTTTCAGATTGTATGTAGTATTCTGCCATGACATTAAAGAATGCTTGATTCAGTTTAGTTAGGGGGGTTATATCCTACACCACGAGATCTGGCTTGGTTGTGGTGCAGGGAAATTTGACAGTAAATCGCTACATGAATCAAATTCTTTAACCTCGCCTTCTTCCAATCATTTACCGCCAGAGGGAGCTGTTTCAATAGGACAACGCTCCACCGCACACGGCTCATGTCACGGTAGACTACCTTCATAATGACAACATCAGCGACTTGCCCTGGCCGTCGAGATCTCCAGATCTGAACCTAATCGAACACCTCTGGGATGAACTCGATCGACGTGTACGTCAACATCAGAACACGCCGCAGACACTCCCACAAATGGCCAACGCGTTACAAGAAGGAATGGCGCAGAATTCCGCAGGACAGAAGTCGTACACTTATCCAGTCAGTGCCGAGGTGATGCAGAGCCGTGATTGATGCCCGGGGCGGTCACACGAGCTACTGAGTTCAGCGCAACCTTGTGGCCTTATGTGACATGACAATGAACGGTTTTGAATGCCTTTGTGCAACGACAACATATGACTATCGAGCTTCAGAATTTCCTATTTGTATTTATGATATTAGATCAAATATATAAACTTTATTAGCTACAATAAATTGACTCAAAACCTACCTGTGCGTTTCTATTTTTAAGAGTGTATATTAAGCCTTTTCATGCAAACAAACGTGGGTATGTGTACATCGATTGCCTACATATCGATTCATAAAAAAATGGCTGCCGATCGATCACACAAAAGAACTGTAAAACGTATCGATATTTCTTTTATTACACGCTAGGTCTCTAAAACACGCCGGATCAACGGCTCTTGAGAATTTAATAAACGTCCTAGCGCCTTAAAGAGAGAATACGGTAGTTTGATATCGGATGTTTTGGCGACAGTATGACGTTCGAGGCCGTAACCCGGACTGCTTCGATGATGAGATTACAAGGCATACCTTTTGCATATAAACGAACGTTTATGAAACACTGTTAGGGACATGTTCGATGGCGAACAGAATACTAACAGGCAAATTTCCTCATTGAAACAACCGACACCGAAATTAAAATATAACATCATAAAAAAGTGTTTTAAAAACTTTATTCACAACGACATGTTTACAAAGCATTTTGTGATCGATACTCATTGACAGGTCCTCTGTATCAAAATAACCGGCTCGTTTGCAGCCTAACAAGGGACTATTCAGTCATACTTAGTTCCACTGGTAATCACGTGGTACCTGCAGGCTCACCCCCAGTAAATCTACAGATTGATGTTGAACTGACGGGACCGGGTGGTCAGGCTCGCTGACTTGGTTGGGGCATGTCATCGTATCCCATTTGCGTGTATCAATGCTCAATGCTCAATCACTGAATTGTCAGGTCCAGACTCGATTGTTTACAGACCGACGTCATATAACTTGAATATTGCTAAGTGGGGCGTTAAACAACAAATAAACAAAACAAACAAATCATACAGGAAGCTGACAATTATATCTGATAACTACGATATCTTTTCAGTTACCACCACCCGCCCATCCCCAAATAATCCATTTATATTGCTAAAATAGCTTGTATCCACCCCGCTATCCACAAGGCTTCTTGATAACGTATAAGGATCTACACCAAAACGCCTTTACGGTAAATAAAAATTGCCTTCAAATACGACTTTGCTGGTCGTAAAAGGCGACTAACGGGATCGGGTGGTCAGGTTCGCTGACTTGGTTGATAAATGTCATCGATCCCAATTGCGTGGATCGATGCTCATGGTGTCAATCACTGGATTGTCTGGTCCAGACTCGATTATTTACAGACCGACGTCATATAGCGTGAATATTGCCGAGTGCGGCTTAAAGCAACAAACAAACAAACAATTACACTAAATAAAGTTGTTATCCATAAATTGTCTCTACTTTGAAACGCAAGCGGACTGACCGAGATATCTGTTTTGCAGGCTTCATACGGGTATCTGAATACCAGGTCATGACCTTCCATTCTGCCTTTGCAGGTAACTGTCCCAAGGGAAACGTCGTCAGCAGTTGACGACGTCACGCCATAACCAAATGACGTAATATCCAGCCGGATGTCCCACCCATTTGTTTGACATTTGTAGATCAGGTTAGTGTTGGAAGTAACTGCAAAAAATAGATTTCTAAGAAATGACAATGTTTTTTTCCGTTACTTAAGCTTATGCATGGGGATTGTGTTTCAGAATAGTCGGCTAGTTCCCTGCCCCGCCCCATGGTTGGTTGGTGTACGTCGTACCCAGCAATATTCCAGCCATATGACGGCGAACTGTAAATAATCGAGTCCGGACCAGACAATCCAGTGATGGACATCATGGGCATCGATACGATGACATGCATCAACCAAGTCGGCGAGCCTGACCACCCGATCTCGTTAGTCGCCTCTTACGACAAGCATAGTCGCCTCTTACAGCAAGCATGGGTTGCTGAAGACCTATTCTACCCCGGATCACGGATACAAGAACCCATGGGGATTCCGAGTAAGAGGGGCGGTCGGGTAGCCTAGTGGTTAAAGCGTTCGCTCGTCACGCCGAAGGCCCAGGTTCGATTCCCGACATGGGTACAATGTGTGAAGCCCATTTCTGGTGTCCCCCGCCGTGATATTGCTTGAATATTGCTAAAAGCGGCGTAAAACCATACTCACTCACTCACTCACTCCGAGTAAGAAGAGGTCCCCAGCAACCTGTGCTTGTCTTACGAGGTGACTTAATGGATCGGGTGGTCAGACTCGATGACCGGGCTAACAAAGTTGACCTGGTACCGCGACGGCGTGGATCATTGTTCACAATATCAATCACTGGTTTCTTGTCGAGAGTCGATTGTTGACAGGCCGTTGCTAAATAACTTTAACATTGCTGATTTGCGGCGTTAAGCAACATGTATACGTTGTCGTAAGACCCGACTTTAAAGGGCAAGTTCACACGGAAATGAACCTATTTTTCTTGTACTTTTTCCACATTAAAAGTGTTAACCTAGAAGTGTCATAGACAAAAATATAAAAATATCACAATTAATCAACATATTTTTCGCATTAAAACGATTCATATTTTTCACATTTACCAAGTGTTCTATTTCCACAACAAAAACACCATGGCTTATGCCCCTTGCAATATGACGTCATTGGTGCCAATTGATAAACATTATGACGTCATCATGCTTTGTTAGAGCCGCTTCACGTGGTGTAGGTCTAGGTGTGTGATTCTAGTGTCTCAGATGCCAGCCAGCATAGTGTTATGCTGAGTCACCACTGCGCCGGAGTGTGTCGTAGGCCATGTTGTTTTACCGCAAACTGGTACTTGATATCTTTTGCGTTGAGAATAGACAGGGACCCAGTTGAATTGGCACCAATTACGTCATAATCTAAGGGGGATAACTCAGGCCTGTTTAGCTCGAAAAACGAAGGCCTCATAACGGCATATCATTTTCACACTATTGTGAGCTTCCTACTTTCACTGTGAAAAAAATGAGTGTATATGTTCAAACACAGATACTAATTTATTCTAAAATTGCGTTTTGTTTAGAAAAAGAAAGAAAGTGATTTTTGCGTGTACACTTCCCCTTTAATATGTGTGTGTGTGTGTGTGTGTGTGTGTGTGTGTGTGTGTGTGTGTGTGTGTGTGTGTGTGTGTGTGCCGCTTTTAGCAATATTCCAGCAATAGCACGGCGGGGGACACCAGAAATGGGCTTCACACATTGTACCCATGTCTGGAATCGAACCCGGGTCTTCGGCGAGACGAGCGAACGCTTTAACCACTAGGCTACCCGACAGCCCCCCGACTTTAATGAGGGTCGGGTGGTCAAGACGTGTCATTGGCTAAATGGGTGTCACCACACCCCGACAGCATCAATGGTTGCTCATGTTTGTCTTACCCAGGATATAATATTTCTTACAGTTTATGCCCCGTAGGGTTGGTTGGTTGGTTGGTTTGTTGTTTAACGCCGCACTCAGCCATATTCCAGCTATATGACGGCGGTCTGTAAATAATCGAGTCCGGACCAGACAATGCAGTGATTGATATCGTGAGCATCGATCAACGCAATTGGGATCGATGACATGCTTCAACCAAGTCAGCGAGCCTGACCATCCGATCCCGTTAGTCGCCTTTTACGACAAGCATAGTCGCGTTTTACGGCAAGCATGGGTTGCTGAAGACCTATTCTATCCCGGATCTTCACGGGCCCCGTCGGAATTCCGTGTTAACATTTCTCCCCAGCAACCTATGCTGGTCGTAAGAGGCGACTTAATAGATCGGGTGTACAGGTTCAGTGACTTCTTTGATGGCGTGCCATCGTACCCCGACGGCGTGAATCCTTGCTCATAATATCAATCACTGGATTGTCTTGCCAAGACAGGTTATTTATGCTGCTGTCATAAAGATGAAAGCGTTAGCTCGTCACACCGAAGACCCGGATTCGATTTCCCCTACGGGTACATTGTGTGAAGCCCATGTCCCCTTCCCTGATATTGCTGAAATATTGCTAAGAGCCGCGTAAATTCAAACTCACTCATTCATATAGATGTTATATTGCGGTGTTAAACAACAAAAACAAAAATACAATAAGGCAGTATAAAGTTTGAATGTTGCTACCAGATACATAAATAACAAACAACTCATTTAGGTACAGAAGAAGCAATATATGGATGACAACTTCTTAAATTACTATTGTAGCGATGGTTCGGTAAAAGGATGAATACAAAATGTCGCTATAGGAGTCTCGTAAAGAAGTTGGTATCTATAAAATAACTTCGTCATCCGTCAACTTCTAAAAAATGCCTAACAGTATTTGTAAATCATTTGAAAGTCTACATACCTGCTTTTGAAAACGGAAGAATTGCGATGGATAATGCAATATACAAAATACTACCCCTGTGTGCCATGTTTAAATCAGCATAGGTTGGCATGGATGTATTACACTAGATAACACATATAACGCAGATAGCTAGGTGGTACATGTGACCTTATTTCGTGAAGACAATACTTGGTTTGACCTTTTTATCAATGTGACCTTAAAATGCTTAATTCTCAAAGGTGATGGTACTTTGCACTTAAGCGGAATAGTACAGTCAAGCGTTCTGCGTGTCTAAGAGGGACTGTTTTAAGTTTTTAAAACAGAATATTTTGTACACTCAGCGCTTCAAGAGATCTTCTGGGTCCCACAGCAGCATGTACAGTGAACAATTTTGTGTAAAAAAATACAATCTATTTTTTGAATGAGTGAGTGAGTAATAATTCTGCAATATCAGAAACCAGAAATAGGCTTTGCGCGTACCCATGTTTGGATTCAAACCCGGATTTCGGCGTGAAGGGCAAACGCATTAACCACTGGTATACCACACCGCCACCTTAAGGAACCCAAGTGATTAGTCATGGTCCTGGCATCCCTAATCGTAACGTATATCATTTATCACAATGTGGCACTCATCTGTTAAGTGGGACATATGTATGTTATCAGTCTCGTAATGGCTCCCATCTCATACTTCTTCCTGTTAGATAACCCTATCAGTGCGGACGACGATGTAGCTTGGTGACGTCACAGGGGACACGCCGGTTGTTGAACATTTTGCATGTTCTTTTACATTTGTTCTTTGCGGGAAAGCAAAACATGATCATTCTTAGACTAGCAGCCATCGGGTTGGTACTATCGAGATGCCATGTTGGTAAGTTACTAGTATTTTCATAGATGATTTAGGTCATTGCATGGTTATCATATATGAATATTGATTGCTATTTTTGTGATTTTAATTGTGGTGGGTGAGGTGAAATGGGGTTTAACGTCGCGTCCAAGATTATTGCGCTTATATAACGACGTGCATGCACGTGTGTGTTTGTGTGTGGCTGCTTGTACTTGTCAGGATTGATGCCGATTTAATAGTTCTAGCCCACTGAGATACAGTTTAACATAAATACTTTCTGTGACCTTGACCTACTTAGTATTAATCTGATTTCTAGATTCAGCATCCAGTACCAGTGTGGGGACTGACTTCACTGTGGCGTTCTTCCCCTACGCCTCCAAGAACATCACTGTCCCCGTCAGCAGCAACATCTACATCACCTCGGCTAATTCCGGCTACTGTAACATCGAATATGCCGTTGATCCATTTACAAGGTCAGTCAGGTATGTAGAGGTCAGACGTCAACAGACAACGAAGGTCGTCATACCAATTGCTGCACGAGTATCGCTTGGGGCCGTCAGGGAATTCAGTGCAATCCGGATTTCTTGCTCAGTTCCGGTGTCTGCGTACGCTTCCTATAGTACTTCCGGTTTTCTGTCAAGCGCCATGTTGATTCTCCCGATGTCAAGCCTGTCTACGACGTATTACGTTCCTGGGTTCCCTGGCAACAGCTTTGTAGGAATAGTTGCAACGTCTGATGACACAAAGGTGCATATCAAACTGCAATCAGTCACGAGGTTTATGTATGGAAACAAGGCGAAGGTATCAGGAGATTACATCGATGAAATTCTGTCAGAAAACGAGGTACTGTTTTTGCATTCGCCGGCCAGTGATTTCGGAGGAACCAAGATTACTTCCAACCAACCAATCGCAGTGTTCTCTGGATCCAACAAAATTCAAGATGGCGGTTTCGTTTTGAGCGACGAATTCAGTTCCGCTCAAGCTCTACCTTTGCATATGTGGGGCACAGACTTTATCATCAAGGAACCACTCAGATCAACCTACACCCGACGTTTTACAAGGATCCTGGCAGCAACGAATTCAACAGTCGTAAATAAAATAGCAGGAGGCGTCACGCAGTCCGTATTCACTGGCCTGCGTCAAGGCAGCTATACAGAGGACGAACTGAATTCTACAGACACGACTGTCTATTTCAGCTCCAACCCTATTTCTGTGACCGTTATAGCGTATGGCCCGCATGGAGCTTCGTACCTACCTGTACCCTGTCTAGCGCTTTACCAAACGGACACGCAAGTCCCGAAATTAGATTCATCAGATTCTTACATATTTATTACGACGGAAACTAAGGAACTGCAAGGCATGCAGATAAATGGTAACAGTCCTGTGGGAACAACATGGGCCAACATGTCATCTAAGGTCTTACCATACTCTATTACCGTAATGCCAACGACGAGGACTTCATCGATGACTCTCCAACAGACATCCCTGTTAGGGGACTTCTCGGCGCAGATTTTCGGTTTCGCGGCTAATAATAAGGAATTCGAGGCTAATGTTGGTTATGGGGTCTCAACGTCGTCTCCAGGAGTGCCAGGTATGTGTCGATATGTTTCAGGGAGAGTGACGGTAGAAGGATACGACAATTAAATATTATTGGGTATTTTTTTTCTTCTAACCATTTTTTTTTTTTTTTTTCAAGTATGATTTTAATCAACGCTGTAATACACTTTATGCTGATTCGGAATCTTTTTCAGTAACCTGACGACTGTTTTCAGACCTGACAATTACTTATGACAGTTTTCTTGAAATAATTAAAGATGACGTCATCTATCATACATGACGTCACAGCGGTTTTATGTGACGTACATGTAGTTCCAACAATAGATTTACTGAGGAGATCGGGACACATATTTCACAGAAAAAACAACTTTGGATATTAAATAAAATAATGCACTCGAAATAATGAACGGATACTATGTCCCTCATGAAATAATGTCAAGGATCGAAACTTTACTTCACAAATCATTCAGGACAGATAATCCGTGATTCCTTTGTAGCTCAAGTACATTTTCTTATGAAGGTATCGAGTACAGTCGAGTACACCTGACGTGTGACCGTGACAGATGGGAGATAACTCTAAATGCAACAGCTTTCAATGGCGGCCTGGACTACCGTGGTATTTTCAACAATGTGACCCTGGGTCGAGATCCGTTCTGCACTGGGGTTCTGCAAGGTGACCGCTTGGTGCTCAACGCTTCTCTACAGGACTGCAACACAAAAACAGAGGTGACACTAAGTTTTAAGTTTTAAAGAGGGGTTTCAGCATTCTCGCACATTTACATATTTAGCTTGTTTCCAAAGATCCAGATCGCGAGTATGCAAAAAACGCGAAAATGCAACTAGTATTCCATGTGTGACTGAAATATTGTTGATACGGAAACCCCATCTTCCCGAGGCACTGGCATTAACTGATTATAAGAGTCCAGTTTCCACCCTTGACAAACTAAACTAGAATTCCTGAGTTACATTTTGGCCGGACTAATGGGTGTATGCATAGTCCAATCAAAATCACATAACCAACTAGACATCCGGTTCGTAAACAACATGGATTTCAACGTGCAGATTTCGGTCGACCACAGGATTTGCAAAGCATGTGTACCGTCAACTGGTCGCCGACAGATATTTTGCAAATCTTTTCATGCTTTTAGTCAATGTGCTCGAGTGATTTGATGCATTTCGCAGGGTAAAACCCGTTTTCTTATAATATACATGTTGTCTTGACTGGGCGCCTCCATTTTATTTGAAGCAAACGCAAGTGATATGAGAGATGTAATCTGATTGGTCAATAGGAGGGACATAGAAGGGACATAACTCGTAAAAGCCACTGGTGGCTCTACGATCGAGTCAAGAAATTACAGTCCATTTCGGTAAGGGTGTAAACTGGACTTTGATAGTCTATTAACGCCCTTGCCTCGGGGAGATACGAAAACCCAATCTCACTCACTCACCCCAGATCATTCTACATTGCAGACGGAGAAAGGTCAGACCGTGTACGAGAACTCACTGACGTTTAATCAGGTCTGGCAATACAACGTCATGTGTTCCCTGGCAACCACTAACATGTCTGCGGCACAACCACAGGTCGCCAGTAACGTCATCGACGATCGTCTAGGCTCCATCCCCACCGTCACTCAGATTAAGTTGTTCAGTGACTATGGCTTCCAACACGAGATTCCTGGAGACTTGAAGATGGTCACCGGAAGAACGGTGTACGTGGAAGTGTCCGCACCATCGGACATGGGTCTGAGTATAGTGGTCAACGATTGTTACACATTTGACCGGTCTGACTCTACCATACCATTGCGGCACTTGATCAGAAATAGGTGAGAGTTAAAAATGTATACAGTGATAATTTACTCGTATACTCTGGGGGCGGTCGGGTAGCCTAGAAGTTAAAGCGTTCGCTCGTCACGCCGAAGACCCGGGTTCGATTCCCGACATGGGTACAATGAAGGATGCCCATTTCTGGTGTCCCCCGCCGTGATATTGCTGGAATATTGCTAAAAACGGCGTAAACCAAACTCACCCACTCACTACTCTTATACTCATACACTCAAAACGCATAGTGGATTTTGACTCTTGTTACGTAACTAGTGTCAAAGTAAGGATTCAAACTCAGACAACAGTACTGCAATGTTGCATACCTTCTGGCCTCGATATCCACGTAACATTTTCTTTGTTTTTTGGCAGTTCGCTGAAAAGTATTCCCCAAATTCAACAATTTCTCTGTGTGTCTGTATATATTGGTGTGGTGAGGAGTGTGTATAACAGGGCGCTTGTACACATATGAGTAGGGACAAAATAAACTAGTGACTGAAAGCATGAACAACGATCAACGCCTTGGGGCAGGCGCAATAAGTCTGGTACTCGATTCTCTTTCTCTTTAATCTGGGGCGGTCGGGTAGCCTAATGGTTAAAGCGTTAGCTCGTCACGCCGAAGACCCGGGTTCGATTCCCGACATGGGTACAATGTGTGAAGCCCATTTTTGGTGTCCCCCGCCGTGATATTGCTGGAATATTGCTAAAAGCGGCGTAAAACCAAACTCACTCACTCACTCACTTCTCTTTAATCTGCTCATACGACATGCATGTGGTAGACCGCCTCCGTGGCGTAGTGGATTAAGCGTCTGCCCGGAGAGCGGAAGGTCGTGGGTTCGATCCCCGGTCGCGTCCTACCAAAAGACGTTATGAGACGGTACTTTTTGTTACCTTGCCTTGCGTTCGGCATTAAGGGGCTTAAACAAGGACAGTATACTGAATTTGAGTGTGGATATATATGTTAAACTGCGGCATGGTATCTCAGTGGGCTAGCACTATAAAATCGGCATTAGTCCGGACTAGTGCACACGCACGCACACACACACACACACACACACACACACACACACACACACACACACACACACACACACACACACACGTAGCTGTATAAGTGCAATATTGTGCAGAATTGTGTCCCTTAGACGTACAAGGATCCGTTAGTGTTTGATTAACGGGGTTTCACCGTCTCACTATTTTTCAGATGCGCTAACGACAGGTCAGTAGGCATCATGTCCACCAGTGCGTACAGGAGACGGTTCAGTTTCACTGCCTCGAGCAACACTCTGGAGTACGTCAGCTGTGACGTACAATTCTGCAGAACAAATGACCTCAGTGAACCTTGTCAGCCAGAATGTGTGTTTTACCTGGGGGGACCTGCCGTTGGCAGGTAGACAGATGAAGGTCATAGGTGCAGCGGATGTAAGGGGTCAGGGGTCAGGGAGTCTCAGGACCAGACGTCCGCTAATTGATTAATTTTAAAGGACTGGGTGAGACACATTGACAAAGTCCCTATATTTATCAGGAGCGGTTATTTACGAGGTGGCTAACTTACGGGAAAATATGTCCATTCTGTGAAACTAATACTGATTCCTTACTTCACTTAATTTGTTATTACAAGCATGTTAAAGGACTTTGAGCCAAAGTAGAATGTTTTCTGAATGCAGGATTTTCAATTGAAATAATTTACATTTAAAAAAATTGTAGCACGGGTGGCCCAGTCGTCTTAAGCGCCGCGATTCGGTGTGCAGAGTTGCGTCCCTTGGGCACGCCAGAAACCTATGATTATGGGTTCGAATCCCGGTTCACCCCGATTGTTTCTAGGTTTGTCAGCACCATACCCGTGCTCGTGGGTTTCACCGAAGTGGTAAACGTCTGAAACCTGCATCACTTCGGGCTTTCCTCCCACATTAAGCTGACACGCAGTGATTTAACTGGAATACAGTTAAAAGCGGCGTTAAACCAAACTCACTCACTCACTCACTCACTTGCCTCGGGGAGATGACTGAAACCCTGGGGTGCTGCACTCTGGTCAACAGTCTCCAAGTGACGTCATCGTTAAACCTAATTAGTTCCATTTATTGATTTAATAATGAATAAAACATTTTAATGAATATAATTGACTAGGTATTGATAATATATATGTAATATATTATAATATGCGTCAGGGGAATGTAGCTTTCGATTGTTCACATACATACTTTCGAATCAATAAAACAACTTTGGTGATTTTTCATCACCATCGTTTTATATGCAATAAAAAGAAAAGCTGCAATGACAGCTTTGTCCAGCATTGAAGCACTTGTTTACCTCTCATAGTTGTGTGTCATAGCAATGGCTGGAGTGTTTCTCCTTCTCTTGGAAACCATGCTGTACTTTATGGGTTTTATTTCGTGTAAGTTATCCTTGATTAACCCTGGTTAACTCAGGCTGAATAGAGTCAACCCTGGATGCCAGAAATGTGGATACCAAGGCTGAATCAGGTCACGCGAAGCTTAATAATCGTTCGAACGCACGATGAATGGGCTATGGTTGGTATTTTACGGACGCTTCGCTTGATGCCGTTCTCTCATATCATCCACACAACTTGTCCGCAAGTTGACGTCAGTTCCTGCAGAGACCATATACCGATACCGGTATGTGGTCTCTGGTTCCTGGAAGAACACGACTGGCCCTGGACCCTTATGTTCTGTTCCATGCTGTGGATTAGAACGTGAGTGCATGATATTTCACGCCATAGGAAGGGTTGATCCTGCAGCTGAAAGCACGAGTTCACATCAGCCTACATTCTTCTTGGTTCCCCGGTGAATAGGCCTTCAGCAACCCATTCCTGTAAGAGGCGACTAACGGGATCGGGTGGTCAGACTCGCTGACTCGGTTGATGCATGTCATTGTATCCCAATTGTGTATATCGATGCTCATGGTGTCAATCACTGGATTAAGACTCGATTAACAGAGCGCCGTCATAGAGTTGGAATATTGCTGTGTGCGGCGTCAAACAACAAACAAATAACGTTTCTGGTACACACAGCACGAGACGAGTATGAATGAGTGGCACGATCCAAACATTGCAGGGTTATTGGAATGCGTGGTAGTACAATACGTCATTTCCTGTTTCCGTGTCGTATATAGTCATGACCCTCATGGACTAACTCTGTCTCTATATCCCTGCCATACATGGACTAACTCTGTCTCTATATCCCTGCCATACATGGACTAACTCTGTCTCTATATCCCTGCCATACATGGACTAACTCTGTCTATATATCCCTGCCATACATGGACTAACTCTGTCTCTATATCCCTGCCATACTGGGACTAACTCTGTCTATATCCCTGCCATACATGGACTAACTCTGTCTCTATATCCCTACCATACTGGATCTAACTCTGTCTCTATACCCCTGCCATACATGGACTAACTCTGTCTATATCCCTGCCATACAAGGACTAACTCTGTCTCTATATCCCTGCCATACATGGACTAACTCTGTCTATATCCCTGCCATACAAGGACTAACTCTGTCTCTATATCCCTGCCATACACGGACAAACTCTGTCTCTATACCCCTGCCATACATGAACTAACTCTGCCTCTATATCCCTGCCATACATGGACTAACCCTGTCTCTATATCCCTGCCATACATGGACGAACTCTGTCTCTATATCCCTGCCATACATGGACTAACTCTGTCTATATATCCCTGCCATACACGGACTAACTCTGTCTATATATCCCTGCCATACATGGACGAACTCTGTCTCTATATCCCTGCCATACATGGACTAACTCTGTCTCTATATCCCTGCCATACACGGACTAACTCTGTCTATATATCCCTGCCATACATGGACTAACTCTGTCTATATATCCCTGCCATACAAGGACTAACTCTGTCTCTATATCCCTGCCATACACGGACAAACTCTGTCTCTATATCCCTGCCATACATGGACTAACTCTGTCTCTATATCCCTGCCATACATGGACTAACTCTGTCTCTATGTCCCTGCCATACATGGACTAACTCTGTCTCTGTATCCCTGCCATACATGGACTAACTCTGCCTCTGTATCCCTGCCATACATGGACTAACTCTGCCTCTATATCCCTGCCATACATGGACTAACTCTGTCTCTATATCCCTGCCATACATGGACTAACCCTGTCTCTATATCCCTGCCATACATGGACGAACTCTGTCTCTATATCCCTGCCATACATGCACTAACTCTGTCTATATCCCTGCCATACAAGGACTAACTCTGCCTCTATATCCCTGCCATACATGGACTAACTCTGTCTATATCCCTGCCATACATGCACTAACTCTGCCTATATCCCTGCCATACAAGGACTAACTCTGCCTCTATATCCCTGCCATACATGGACTAACTCTGTCTCTGTATCCCTGTCATACATGGACTAACCCTGTCTCTATATCCCTGCCATACATTGGCGAACTCTGCCTCTTTATCCCTGCCATACATGGACTAACTCTGTCTCTATATCCCTGCCATACTGGGACTAACTCTGTCTCAATATCCCTGCCATACTGGGACTAACTCTGCCTCTATATCCCTGCCATACTGGGACTAACCCTGTCTCTATATCCCTGCCATACTGGGACTAACTCTGTCTCTATATCCCTGCCATACTGGGACTAACTCTGCCTCTATATCCCTGCCATACATGGACGAACTCTGCCTCTATATCCCTGCCATACATGGACTAACTCTGTCTCTATATCCCTGCCATACTGGGACTAACTCTGTCTCTATATCCCTGCCATACTGAGACTAACTCTGCCTCTATATCCCTGCCATACTGGGACTAACTCTGCCTCTATGTCCCTGCCATACTGGGACTAACTCTGCCTCTATATCCCTGCCATACTGGGACTAACTCTGTCTCTATATCCCTGCCATACTGGGACTAACTCCGTCTCTATACCCCTGCCATACTGGGACTAACTCTGCCTCTATGTCCCTGCCATACTGGGACTAACTCTGTCTCTATATCCCTGCCATACAAGGACTAACTCTGTCTCTATGTCCCTGCCATACATGGACTAACTCTGTCTCAATATCTCTGCCATACATGGAATAACTCTGTCTCTATATCCCTGCCATACATGGACTAACTCTGTCTCTATATCCCTGCCATACATGGACTAACTCTGTCTCTAAATCCCTGCCATACTGGGACTAACTCTGTCTCAATATCCCTGCCATACATGGACTAACTCTGCCTCTATGTCCCTGCCATACTGGGACTAACTCTGTCTCAATATCCCTTCCATACTGGGACTAACTCTGTCTCTATATCCCCGCCATACATGGACTAACTCTGTCTCTATATCCCTGCCATACATGGACGAGCTCTGTCTCTATATCCCTGCCATACATGGACGAACTCTGTCTCTATATCCCTGCCATACATGGACGAACTCTGTCTCTATATCCCTGCCATACATGGACTAACTCTGTCTCTATATCCCTGCCATACTGGGACTAACTCTGTCTCTATATCCCTGCCATACATGGACGAGCTCTGTCTCTATATCCCTGCCATACATGGACTAACTCTGTCTCTATATCCCTGCCATACATGCACTAACTCTGTCTCTATATCCCTACCATACATGGACTAACTCTGCCTCTATATCCCTGCCATACTGGGACTAACTCTGCCTCTATATCCCTGCCATACATGGACTAACTCTGTCTCTATATCCCTGCCATACATGGACTAACTCTGTCTCTATATCCCTGCCATACTGGGACTAACTCTGTCTCAATATCCCTGCCATACATGGACTAACTCTGCCTCTATGTCCCTGCCATACTGGGACTAACTCTGTCTCTATATCCCTTCCATACTGGGACTAACTCTGTCTCTATATCCCCGCCATACATGGACTAACTCTGTCTCTATATCCCTGCCATACATGGACGAGCTGTCTCTATATCCCTGCCATACATGGACGAACTCTGTCTCTATATCCCTGCCATACATGGACGAACTCTGTCTCTATATCCCTGCCATACATGGACTAACTCTGTCTCTATATCCCTGCCATACTGGGACTAACTCTGTCTCAATATCCCTGCCATACATGGACTAACTCTGCCTCTATGTCCCTGCCATACTGGGACTAACTCTGTCTCTATATCCCTTCCATACTGGGACTAACTCTGTCTCTATATCCCCGCCATACATGGACTAACTCTGTCTCTATATCCCTGCCATACATGGACGAGCTCTGTCTCTATATCCCTGCCATACATGGACGAACTCTGTCTCTATATCCCTGCCATACATGGACGAACTCTGTCTCTATATCCCTGCCATACATGGACTAACTCTGTCTCTATATCCCTGCCATACTGGGACTAACTCTGTCTCTATATCCCTGCCATACATGGACGAGCTCTGTCTCTATATCCCTGCCATACATGGACTAACTCTGTCTCTATATCCCTGCCATACTGGGACTAACTCTGTCTCTATATCCCTGCCATACATGGACTAACTCTGTCTCTATATCCCTGCCATACTGGGACTAACTCTGCCTCTATATCCCTGCCATACATGGACTAACTCTGTCTCTATATCCCTGCCATACATGGACTAACTCTGTCTCTATATCCCTGCCATACTGGGACTAACTCTGTCTCTA